AACAAGACAAATTGCACAAGGTATAAAAATGAACACAAGAAAAATCACAACCTCACATGAAAATTACCAATGCAATAACCCCACATCATCACATATCATCCCTAACAATAACCACCATTATCTCTCATATAACCACCTTTATCACTCCTATAATAGCCTTCCTTATCCCTCCGCCCTAACAATATCAATAGCCACCATTATCGCTCATATAGCCACCCTTATCGCTCATATAATAGCCCCCCTTATCCCCCCGCCCTGATAATATTAATAGCCACCCTTATCGCTCCTATAGTCACCTTTATCTCTCATATAACCACCCTTATCGCTCCACCCACACAATATCCCAACACACATAACAACAGTGAAATGCCACCCTTATACCCGCATAATATCAACTTTGAAATGCCACCCTTATATCCTCAAAATAATAACTCAAATAACACAATAATTTACTCGAAATAATATCCCGGCAACATAACAAAATCAATTCATATCACAATTTGTCCAATGGCCACAACCAATTCCAAAGATATAACAAAATTAATTAATTTCACAACAAATAACCCAAGGCTCCACACAATGTGTATAAAACCTAAAAATAATAACAGAGATGGAAAATACTCAGTATAGGGAAACGCCTTCATTAATCCAAATTTTTGATAATTATATAACGTCTCGGTTCAAACTAATTTCATTAATTATTTGCAAATGAAAAATCCATAATATAATTATTTCCAGAAAATATCAAATCACCCAACTCATGGAATTCACATAAATATACAAGCAATAACCACACCAAATTATCATATAAAAATAAATTCAACAAACGCGAATTGAGGCATGGCAAATAGATGATTTAATAAATGCCAACAATTATTCAATTTACTACAAAATATGCCTAAGACTTTAACCCGATCAATTTTGCACATATAAGCCCGAGTACGTACTCGTCACCTCGCGTACACGGCTTTTCACATTTCATAAATGGCACATAAGACTCGATGCCTAAGGGGTAATTCCCCCACTCGAGGTTAGGCAAGATACTTACCTCATTTCGCAACCAATTTCAAGATTCCTATAAACCTTTGCCTCGCGAATTCGTGTCCAAAAGCTTCAAATCTAGTCACAAACAATTCAATATACTCAACACGAATCGCAGGACTTAATTCCATATGAAAATACTAATTTTCCAGCAAAATTCGAAATTTAACTCAAAAATCGCCCGTGGGGCCCACGTCTCAGAATCCGACGAAACTCACAAAATCCGACAACTCATTCAATTACGAGTTCACCCATACCAATTTTATCAAATTTCGATATCGGATTGAGCTTCAAATTTTCATTTTATATTTTTGGAAGATTTTACAAAAAAATCTGATTTTTCTTCCATAAATTCACGGATTCATGATGTAAATGAGTATGGAATCATGAAATATAATCAAAATAGGATAAGGAACACTTCACCAATATTTACCTGTAAAAATCGCCCAAAAATCATCAAAACCGAGCTCCCCAACTCTATTTTTGTCAAAAATGGCAGAAAACCCCCGTTTATAGGGTCTCAGCTGTTTCAGGCGCTACAGGTGGCGTGGGGCGCTGACGGCGACGGAAAATCGTTCCCGACATGGAAATGGGCATAACTCTCTCATACGATATCCGAATTCGACGATTCTTTTTGCTATGGCTCCAAAATTTCAATACGGATCTAATTCTTTAATCAAAACTGAATTTGAAGCTCATTTGCTTAATATGATACTACGTATTCTTGAAGAATCGATGTCGAAATATCCTAGGTTCTATGCCGAAATATAGCAAATCAAGTCCGATTGACCTCAAATTTTGCACACAACTCATAATACATCATATGAAGCTATTCAAGACTTCAAATAGTAGAAAGGAGAGTAATAACTCAAATCGACAAGTCGGGTCGTTACACCGAGGTTAGTGAAGATACTTATTGAGTATATGTGGTCAGTTGTACTCATACTACAATTCTGCACCTTCCGTGCATATCTTGGAGCGGAGTTGCGATGGATGACGGGAGATGACTCTGAAGATGTTCGTGTCTTCCGGGTGTGGCTACGACTTGTTCCTAGGTAGTTCTAGAGTTGAATTCTATTTATGTACATTTCAAACAAAAGTTATATTTATTTCATATCCGTTTTTGCAATAATCTAATCTTAGTAGCTCATATTTTGTATCGTATGGAATCCAAATATATCATTTGTTGATCACCTTTATTTTATTCGAATTGTGATATAATGTATGTATTAGTAATACATGTATTTAAAATACTAAGAAGACAAAAGTAACCTTTATTATAGTAAACAACGTTTGTTTTGTTCAAAAGTCAATCACATATTTTAAATTAAATATTACAATATAATTCGTCTTTAAATCAAACAACATCCGGAACTGTAAGTTTGAGGTATACCTTTCAATCAATAAGAAATGGGGGTGAACTAAGCCTAATATCCTCGCCAAATCTTGATGCAATGATAAAACAACAAATAGAGGTCGACTATGCCTGATCTCGTCACTAATTCTTAATGGAATTATAAAACAAGAAAATGGTAGCTACCAACGTATGATGCGACTATGGCTTATGGGACGGAGTGTTGGCCAATCAAGAGCTTTCATGTCCAGAAGTTATAAGTAGCATAAATTAAGGAGGATACTGCGATGGATGTGTGGGCATACTAAGAGAGATAAGATAAGGAATGAAATATTCGGGACAAGGTGGGAGTGCCCCCGTGACGGACAAGTTGCGAAAAGCAAGACTAAGATAGTTCGGGTCATATAATGAGGAGATGTCCAGATGCCCCAGTAAGAAGGTGTGAGAGGTTGACCATGGTGGGTCTGAGGAGCGGTAGAGGTAGACCTAAAAAGTATTGGGGAGAGATGATAAGGCAGGTTATAGTACATCTGCAGCTTACTCAAGACATAACCCTTGATAAAAAGGCATGGAGATTGAGAACTAGCTAAGGTAGAAAGTCAGTAGGTAGTCACGAGTGTATCTTTTTCTTACCTATAGGATCTATAGTATTCTCTTATTTTCTTATACTTAGATTTATGTTATAACCAGTTATGTTTTTATATATATGTTTTTTGCTTCCGTTTTCTTGTTATCTGGTATTAAAGTATTTAAGTATTTTTCTTGATAGTAATTATTAGTGTCATTTTCTGTTGAGTCAAAAACTGAAAAACATTTTGCTTTTACTATAAAATTTTGCAATCAACCTTTTATTTAGTTGATCAACATATTCATTTTTGCTAGCTAAGATATCTTTTTAATTCTATCATGCGATTTGCACAAATTGCGTTTTAATCTAATGATAGAAATATTTCTTTTATTAAATGCACTACTATTACCATTGGGATTGATAACCAAGTGTCCGGGAAGAACCAAATCATCTTTTATTGGATCCTCTTCTTCGTTTCCGACACGAAGCAAGAAGACACTGAATATTGGATATGTTCTTAATTACTTTATATTTCTTGTCAGTTGAATCTTTTTCGTTGAGGCCAGAAGTATAACTTTGGTAAGCTAGCTTTTACAGTCTATGCTTTTGTCGATTTTGGAACAACCTGGTAGTACTTGACAGAAGTCACCTCCCAAACCATTATTTTTTCACCAGACGGTTCATTAATATCTAATATATCTCAAGAACTCCGGACAATTATTTCGATCGTTTGACACTTAGTCATAAGTGCTTCATCCCATATTATCAATTTTGATTTCCTTATAAATTTAGCATCATTGCTCTGCTTTGATATATTTGAGATGGTTATTTAAGTTGTTTGAAGAGGTATATCAAATCTAAAGTGGGTGGTCTCATAATAAAATCGTTGTTTGTACACCACTTGCTATTATTGCTAATAGTGTCATGCCTCTTGATATGATATTTGCAAGTAATGCATGACATAGAAATATTATTTTGATTTCGCCGGAGGCATCTATAAAGAATAATCTTGTTATACCAGAGTCGACTCTTTATAATATAGTCTTGAAAACTTGATCTTGTTTAGGATTTAGCTTTGATTGTGCTTCCTCAGACATTTGTATAGCATTTTGATTCTTAATAATATACTAACCTTTTTACTTTATGTTCTAGCGCTCTTTTATGAAAAATATTTATGTACCCTAAGATTTTTTTTACTTTAAAAAGAATTTTACTCATATGATGAATTTAAAAAATAATTGAATTGGATTCTCTTGCTAAATAATTAATTAAAAGATTTAATTATTTGATTTTAACATAAAAAATAATTTATTCTACGTTGATTCAGATCTTAATATTAGTTCATCTCTTGTTTTGAATATTTAATCTTATAACTCTTTTGGCAGTACTCCACCCGTTTTAACTTATGTGACGTAATTTGACTTGGCACGCAATTTAAGAAAAATATAAATACTTTTAAAAGTTATGATCCTAAAGTTTAGCTGAAAGCTTTTGTGTGGCTTTTGGCTATAATGACTTAGATTTACAGAATTTTCGTTACAGCCACTTTGGCATTTTCCAGCTTCTGCAAGAGCAAGGCAGTAACTTATTTCCTTTATTATTATTATTATTATTATTATTATTATTATTATTATTATTATTATTATTATTATTATTATTATTATTATTATTATTATTATTATTTATTTTTGGTTCCATTGTTAGATATGATTTTCTTTCATCCTTTAGATTTTACTTGTTAAAGAAAAATGTTTTGCATTTTTATGCTATATATGCTTATTTTTCTAGATATTACCTCAGAAAGACATAACAGGAGTTCCTAAAAATAGTTATTAGAGTTTCAAATTTCGCAAGTAAAACTACTGGATAATATCTTGAAGTTTTACTTGTGAAATATGAAATTACATGACAATGACAATTTCTAAATAAATAAAAAAAAAAGAGTACCGACTGAATGCTACTTCTACTAATTATTGAATCATATATACAAGCAGCTGGGCTCACATAACAACCGAGAGCCTTCTTGAAACAATTATATAGAGCACGATAGGACTTATTTTTTTTATTTATTATTGATAATAATTTTGACATAGGTAGACGTACAAAGTATAACACAACAATCTTATGTACCAGCAGCTATAGCTAGCGCTGGACTTTGACACAGATTCAAATAAAGAACGAAAATACGCATGCACATACCAACATGATATATTGTATGTTGGATTATTGAAATTCGGAAAAACATTCGCACGGTATTATATTGAACGTACGAATATTTAGTTCTTTTTTTCGTCATTCCAAATGGATGGATCTATACAGCGCCCATAGAAACCACCACCCTGACCAGCATTGAGATCGCACGCCCAACATTTTGCATCAGTGCATTCATCACTGTAGACACACAGGTCCCAACATCCAGCAGCAGTTACGTGTGTTTTAGAAAATAACGTAAATTGAGCTGCAATTCAAAATACGAATCAAGGTGAGTATAAGTAGGAGCATAATATATTACAGTATATCTTTTTAATTTGTATGTAAAAAAAATAAATTAAAAAAGAAAATGCTTGTGCGAGAAAAGGAGAAAATATATACTATATATGATAAAATTATATATAACTTACCAGCGATTAGTAAAAGAATGAAGTAGGAAGCGAATTTCAGAGAGTTGGCTCTAGCCATTGTTGGGAATATTTTGTTTATCTCTGTTGATGCTCAGTTCGTTGATCACAATAACTTAGTGCCACTATTTATATACAGAAATATTTGCCTCTTTCCTTCTTAGTATAAATATTTGTCTCTTTGTACATATTCATTTGTTGATACATTAAATAAAAGAGTAAAGTCATACTCTTAGCTTCATTATTGAAAGTATAATTGACAATTTAATTTAACACTTGCAGATCGGTTGACTATTTTTTTTTAAAAAGAAATCATACTTCCTCACCGGCCAATTTTGAACAATAGACAATTCCCCCCGATTATGCTACACAATATCTGTAATGCACTTGACATTTTCATTTTATAATGCACTTGACATTTTCATTTTATATATTATTATAGATGTAACGATTCAACCGTTCAGCATTTGCATTCTGTTCAGCTGTTTGAAGTCTTGAATAGCTTCATATGATGTATTATGACTTGTGTGAATCGTCCGTTTTGATTTTCAGGTGATCCGGAGTTGATTTAGAAGAATAATTCTCAACTAGGAAGCTTTAAGTTGGAAAAGTTGACAAAGTTTGACTTTTATGTATTTGACCCCAGATCGGAATTTTGATGGATCCAGTAAGTCCGGATTGTGATTTTGAACTTGGGCATATGCTCGAATTTGCATCTGGATATTTCTTGAAGGTTTTGGTACTAATTGGCGAAAGTATAAAATTTGAACGTTTGGAATGTTCATAAGTTTGACCGAGAACGAGAGTTGACTTTGATGATATCTGGTTCGATTTTTTGTTCCGGGAGTTGGAATAGGTTTTTTATGTCATTTGGAACTTGTATGCAAAAATTTGGATTCATTCCGGATTGGTTAGGCTTGAATCGGACGCTTGGTTCGAAATTTGAAGTTTATGATCTTAAGAGATTGATCTTGATCGACGATTCGTGGTTTCGATGTTGTTATGTGTGATTTGATGCCTCGAATGGGTCAGTGTTATGTTTTGGGACTTATTGGTATGTTCGGACGGGGTCCCGAGGGGCTTAGGTGTGTTTAGGGGTGGTTTCGGATCATTTCTATACCATTTATAGTTGCTGGTTTTTGGCCACATGGGTGTGCATCGCGATCGCGGACTTTGGGTCACGTTCGCGAAGAGAAAATTTATTGTTTGTGTGAGCACGTGATTTTTGCCCGACTAAAATATTCCTATAGAAATTCACAAATAGATTTTTTTCTTAATTGTTTTTAGTTTTATAGAATTTGTAGGAATTTCGGTTAAAAGTTGCTCTTATTTAGTTGCATATTTAACATTCTAAAATCATAAGAAAAATACCAAAATGTCTAAAGTATTTCGTGCATAACATTTTAGGTCTAATCGCATCTAGGATTTAATTGCATGAGTTAACTGCATTATTAAACAAAAATCACGAAAAATATGAGTTGTATTTACATTTTTAGGCTTTAAATTGCAAATTAGTAATTCTTCTTTTATTAGTCTAAGTTAATTAATTATGGTAAAATAGATATCTAGGTTTATTTCTACAAATTAGTTTGATTTAATACTTAATTTAGGTTTTAATTAATTAGAATTTAAAATCAAGAAAAAGAAAAGAAAAGAAAGAGATTTTGTTTGGTCTCAAACTTGGGCCAAAACAATGTCTGGCCCAAACGATCGCCCCAAGTCCGCTAAACCCAACCCCTCACCCAGCCCAGCCTCGTCACTTAACCAAAACGATGTCGTTTCATTANCCCACCAAAATTAGCGAATCTTAGGTCTAAAATTCCAGAAAAACCCTAGTCTGGTTTATTTCTAAATGACTTTGGTGTTTCTGTTTATTTTAGTTCAAGACTCACATGCATCGAGTAATCTTGTTGAGAGCAACTATTCTAGGCTAGTCTCGACCCGTTTCGAAGTTACCGGAGTCCGGTCCTTTCTTCGATTCCCGGCCAGAGTTCATCGTTCCCGTTACCCGTCGGGTTGTTTTCTCATTTCTTTAGCGTTAAACTAGTATTCTTTTTCCTCATTTGTTCCGGCTCTGTATTTTTCTTGTTTGTTTTTGTTTTATTGTTTTTCCTTCTTTTTCTTTTTTCAGTTAGTTGATTAAGCTTCGTCGTTAATTGCATGTTCAATTTGTTCAACTAATAAACTGATTTAGATTAATTAAAGGTTAAGTACTTAGTCAAGTCTCTGATTTTATTTGAAATATGGCATTTGTTGTTTTTTGGGATGTTTTCTTTAATGTCGGATCTGGGCTTGGTCTTGGGCCATTTGGGTCATAACATTTGGCCCAAGCCTAAGCAGATAGTCTGTTTCTAGAAGGGACAACTGGCATTTTTCAGTTGGAAAAAGATTCCCTCCCCTCGTCTATTTTTTCTGAATTCACGCTGACATATTCCTTCCCCCCAACAGACCTTCTCTGATTTTAGATAGCCTATATATACACCCTTCACACAGAAACGAAGGGTGGGATTTTTTACTGAGTTTCGATTCCTCTCAAATACATTAAAGAACACACACTCTAGAGACTCACTGATCTTCCAAAAATAAAAATGGCACTCTGAATTTAAACTTAGAGACAGAAAAATCATAAAAGAAGAAAATTTATTTTGCTAAGTTTATACTCAGTGGTTGTTTGTTTTCCTGGATTTTCATATTTGCTTGAGTCAAAGAAGCCTTCACTTTGCTTCTTTTTATTCATTCTGCTGTGACCAAGCTCCAGCTTTGGGATTTTGGATTTTATTTTGGTCTTGCTGCTGTCTTTCTATTGCAGGAAATTGCTGCTTCTGCTGGCTCGTAGCTGAATTTTCCTCTTTCATATTTAGACCTTTATTTGGTCATTCGGTTGGCTTTTCTGCAGCTAGGTATGTCTATGCTCACCTGTAGTGTTCCATGGTTATCTGTTAAATAAAAATACAAACCATCGTGTGTTAAGTGATTTAATCTGTCTATATGTTTTGTTTTCTTTTTTCTTTCTTTTGATGAATTCTCCTCATGCTCTATTGAAAAGTCCAAATTAAGTATTATTGGCCGATAGGATTCAAGGTATTAATATTGATTTGTCTTTCTAAAATGAAGCACTTTATCCTAAGTGATATTCCTGTTCATTAAGCTAGTTTTGATGCCATCTTCTCACTTGCTAGTTCGTTTGGCAGATTTCGGTTCCAAGAGTAACTCAGTGGCTATCTTATTGTAAACTTGAAAAGTGCGAAAAGAATGGAAGTAATGTGCTTCTCTTGGAAAGTTGTTGTAATTAAAGCATAGATTTGAAATTCTATCAGTTAAACTTTGTAATTTATTTCAGGACCAATGGGTTGTCGATTCATTTGCAATTATTTTCCTTTGTTCATATAGAACTCCACTTGAGATTGCGCTAGTAGCATATTCAGAGTTTCATGTTACTGGGCTCATTCTATAGCCCAGGTTCGTACTCCAAAATGCAGTAGCTAATTTCAGTTTGTTAAAACGTGTCTGGGCTCTTCAATGTATCTCAAATTGTTGTATTTAGATTCAGTGTCTCAAGAATGCAGTTAGACTTTCAGATTTTCGTTTACAGTAGCTCGAATTAGCCCAGTTTATGTTGATTAGCTACTCATGTTCGCGTTCGTATTATTCGATGCAATCTTAGTTC